TAGAACAACATTTGAATTATAATAATTTAAATTTAGTATACATTATATCGTGATATATATACACACACACACATATGCATATGTAAGTTAAATGAATTCCAGAGAAATTTGACTAAAAAGCTCAACAAAATGGGAAAGAGGAAAACGTGCACAAAACAACAAAACGTAACGTTTCGGCTGGGCAGCCTTTTTCAAACACAAGTGAAAAAAAACGAGTAATGGAGAGTATGTAGATCTCTACGGGGTGACGTGAGCGCTTTAAAAAAATGTGATGCACATTGAAATAAACCTAAAAATAAACGATGGCTAGACCATATAGTCACAATACTGGGAATAAAAGAAATGCAAGTGTGGATACATAAATGATACTGATAAAAATAGAATACTGGTAGATAATATGAAATAAAATAAAACAATTAACATTTAAAATGTGATAAGATTAGAAGAATTTAGATGAAGGTATGTTGGATATTGATACCTCTTGGACTAAGAACGCCAAGGCTGTGGATAAGGCGATTTTCCAAAAAGGCGGTATGATCGCCAGAGCTAAGATTTTAATGCTGTGACAGATATGTCATCTTTACCGCTGTGGTCAGGGCTAAAAAATGAAGAGGGATTGGTTTAGTGTTTTTGTCGATATCGGAAGGTGTTTCCCGAAACACAAGAAGAAAGAAAGACAAAAGTACACTCAAACCAATCCCTCTTCATTTTAATAGCCCTGACCACAGCGGTAAAGATGACATATCTGTCACAGCATTAAAATCTTGCTCTGGCGATCATACTACCCGCCTCGCTTTGGAAAATCGCCTTATCCACAGCCTTGGCGTTCTTAGTCCAAGAGGTAAAATCCAACATACCTTCATCTAAATAGTTCTAATCTTATCAAATTTTAAATGTTAATAATTTTCCTTTCATATTATTACCTTATTCTATTTCTGGACCGATCATTTATGTATCATTTCCAGGCATTTCTTTTATTCCCAGTATTGTGACTATATTTTTAGCTTATCGTTTATTTTATTTTATTTCATTCTTTCCGCAAGATAAACATTTTTTTAAAGCGCTCACGTCACCCCTTAGATATTCTACATACTCTCCATTCCTCGTTTGTGTTGTTTCACTTGTGTTGAACAAGGCTGCCCAGAAACGTTACGTTTTGTTAAATTGTGCACGTTTTCCTCTTTCCCATTTTGTTGAGCTTTTTAGTCAAATTTCTCTGGAATTCATTGTATTAGCTTGACTGCAGTCACCCCCATAGTTTAAGCATATGTAAGTTAGTGTGAAAACATTATACATAATATACATAAATTCAGTGTGTATATGTTATTACTAATTCAGTGTGAACACATTATTACTAATTCAGTGTAGAAATTTTATGTATAATTCAAAAATAAAATGTGTATAAATGTCTTTGGGACACCCTTTGCAAACACACATATGATCCATTCTGTGGTGAAATACTGTCAGGCTCTACTGACATGAATATAATAACTACAATAAATGTCAGCATTAGAAATTCAACTTGACACAAATGTGAACCCAGTTTAATAACAAATACAATGTGGATGTGTCCTGAAGTGGATTCACACACACAAACACACACACAACCTTTTAACTGGGGAGATCCCTCTGCGGGTTCCAAGGCCCTGTTTTGGGGGTGGGGTGGGGTGAGGTGGGGGAACACACCTACTACCTCCCTATCAAGCATGTCACAAAAGATGACTTATAATGGATGCTTTTTCCGAAGTCTGCTTGCAAATAAGCAGATCCGTACAATAGACCTACTAGCAAAACTCAAGTTCTGGTGCAAGAAGGCAGAAATTTCTGCCAGTTTTACAATTGGTAAACGCAAAGAAGAAGAAGACGAAGTAATGGGCAGGCAATCATCAGAAAACCTATTTCCTCATTAGGTAGCAGGTTCTTGGCAACACTAGAGCAAACATTTCAAAAATATAACACAACATAATAATTCTTCACCAGCAAACACATCCACATCAAAGAGTACAACACAACCAGAAGCACAAAAGCTCCCATTTCAACTTAACTTCTCAAAAAAAAAAAAAAAAAAACTGTAGCAAAACCGCACCAGAAAAGCTCAGAGAAAAGTTATATAAACCATGCACAAATTTATATGCTAAGAAGATATTAGGAGAAAGGAAAAAAACACAATAATGAATTAACAGAACTTCATTAAAAATACTGCATGATTTCTTGTAAAAATAATTTAAGATAGCCTTTTCATGGCAAGTTTGCACAAATTACAAAAAGGTAAATACACCACTGAATTAAACTTAACAATAATAATACATTGTCAAATGAAACAATAATAATACATTGTCAAATGAAACAATAATAATACATTGTCAAATGAAACAATAATAATACATTGTCAAATGAAACAATAATAATACAATAATAATACATTGTCAAATGAAACAATAATAATACATTGTCAAATGAAACAATAATAATACATTGTCAAATGAAACAATAATAATACATTGTCAAATGAAACAATAATAATACATTGTCAAATGAAACAATAATAATACATTGTCAAATGAAACAATAATAATACATTGTCAAATGAAACAATAATAATACATTGTCAAATGAAACAATAATAATACATTGTCAAATGAAACAATAATAATACATTGTCAAATGAAACAATAATAATACATTGTCAAATGAAACAAAATAATACATTGTCAAATGAAACAATAATAATACATTGTCAAATGAAACAATAATAATACATTGTCAAATGAAACAATAATAATACATTGTCAAATGAAACAATAAAAAATACATTGTCAAATGAAACATAATAATACATTGTCAAATGAAACAATAATAATACATTGTCAAATGAAACAATAATAATACATTGTCAAATGAAACAATAATAATACATTGTCAAATGGGGTAATAATACATTGTCAATGAAACAATAATAATACATTGTCAAATGAAACAATAAATACATTGTCAAATGCCACCTTACATTGTCGATTGTCAAATAGTGGTTGTCAAGAGGCACTTTTATCTAGGTCATCTGGGGTAGGATGTTAATAAAGCCCCCAAAAAATAAATATGACTGCCACCTTCATCGATTGTTTAGTCTGAAGATTATTCTTTGTGTGGTCACAGAATCAGTTTCTTTGTGTGGTCACAGAATCAGTTTCTTTGTGTGGTCACAGAATCAGTTTCTTTGTGTGGTCACAGAATCAGTTTCTTTGTGTGGTCACAGAATCAGTTTCTTTGTGTGGTCACAGAATCAGTTTCTTTGTGTGGTCACAGAATCAGTTTCTTTGTGTGGTCACAGAATCAGTTTCTTTGTGTGGTCACAGAATCAGTTTCTTTGTGTGGTCACAGAATCAGTTTCTTTGTGTGGTCACAGAATCAGTTTCTTTGTGTGGTCACAGAATCAGTTTCTTTGTGTGGTCACAGAATCAGTTTCTTTGTGTGTGGTCACAGAATCAGTTTCTTTGTGTGGTCACAGAATCAGTTTCTTTGTGTGGTCACAGAATCAGTTTCTTTGTGTGGTCACAGAATCAGTTTCTTTGTGTGGTCACAGAATCAGTTTCTTTGTGTGGTCACAGAATCAGTTTCTTTGTGTGGTCACAGAATCAGTTTCTTTGTGTGGTCACAGAATCAGTTTCTTTGTGTGGTCACAGAATCAGTTTCTTTGTGTGGTCACAGAATCAGTTTTCAAAGACCTTTCTGATGTTTTACTATTAAAAAAAACCATAAGTATCAGAACTCTTCGCTGGCTGCTGAAGATGGAGACGAAAGCGCTTATGGGAATGCCCTGAATGCTGTGATGTCGGTTCTTGAATCAAATCAAATCAAAGTATTAAAAAAAAAAAAAAAAAATGCATAGCCAGTGAAAAGGGACATAGTTTTATCATTCAAGATCTTTGTAATTTAATGAGCGAAATTGTTCAAGCTGCATATAAGAATACCTTAGGGTTCAACCAATTACTTGACAGTTCTTTTGCATCTGGGTCACTGCTAGTTTTGAGGAACGGCTTTCCTTCAACTAATAAAAATGCGCCATGGAATAACTACGTTATTTTTTTGTTACCGGACAACGCCATCAGACAACTATGCGTTTCTATTTGTGAACAGGAAACATTGGATACCTACACATTTCTACTTCTGAATAGGAAAGCGCCATCAGATAACTATGCATTTATATTTTTTAACAGGACAGAAGCCATCAGATAACTATGCATTTATATTTTTTAACAGGACACAAGCCATCAGATAACTATGCATTTATATTTTTTAACAGGACATAAGCCATCAGATAACTATGCATTTCTATTTTTGAACAGGAAAGCACTGTCAGATAACTATGCATTTCTATTTTTGAACAGGAAAGCACCGTCAGATAACTATGCATTTCTATCTTTGAACAGGAAAGCACCGTCAGATAACTATGCATTTCTATCTTTGAACAGGAAAGCACCCTCAGATAATTATGCATTTCTATCTTTGAACAGGAAAGCACCGTCAGATAACTATGCATTTCTATCTTTGAACAGGAAAGCACCGTCAGATAACTATGCATTTCTATCTTTGAACAGGAAAACACCGTCAGATAACTATGTATTTCTATCTTTGAACAGGAAAGCACCGTCAGATAACTATGCATTTCTATCTTTGAACAGGAAAGCACCGTCAGATAACTATGCATTTCTATCTTTGAACAGGAAAGCACCGTCAGATAACTATGCATTTCTATCTTTGAACAGGAAAGCACTGTCAGATAACTATGCATTTTTATCTTTGAACAGGAAAGCACTGTCAGATAACTATGCATTTCTAGTTTTAAACAGGAAAGTGTCATTGGATAACTATGTATTTCTTCTTTTTAAACAGGAAGCGCCATTGGATAATTATGTATTTATATTGTTGAACAGGAAAGCGCCATCGGACAATTATGAATTTAAAAAAAAGATATATAATATTTTCCTATGACCAGCTTCTGTTTACGCTGGCAAAACTGTGCTATTTTCCAAGTTTGGCCAGTGGCCTGGAGTAGAGAAGCTGCCGGTAATGTTGGTGCCGGTAATGTTGGTGTCGGTAATGTTGGTGTCGGTTATGGTGGCAAACATAGAAAAGGTGGAGTCTGGAGGCTCCGTGGTGGTATTTATTACCAAACTGGTCTGATAATGTTGAGGGTAGATGATGCTCATTGTTGTGTCATAGATGTCAAAGAAAACTGCAAAATTGAAAAACAATGGCAGGAAGAACACCAGGTAGGATATAAACCTTGGTGTGGGCAAAGGAATTTCCAGGTTTCTGAAACATAGGAACACAAATATAAAAAATAAATTGTTAGGTATTTTGATTTTGATTTTCAAGAAAATTACAACTTAACAAATATAACAACAAAAAACGAAACTTTCAGAAAAGCATTTAATTTCTCAGATAATTAAAGAAATGAATCTTCAGTTTCGTAATTTCTTGAACAAATGATCCGGTGTGGGTTCTGCGGCTCCATTGTGGAGGAAAACAAGAACAGATGTGCTGCCTCCCCAACAAGCATATCGTAGGAATCGACTAATTGGGGGTTTTCTTCAAAGTCAGAGTGCATCTGCCCGAGTGGAAAGGAAAAACCAGCAGCACACACACAAAAAAAAGCCAGTAAAATGGATGTACACGCAAAACTCAGGCCCTGGCACAAAGCCAAAGTACACAAGGATGAACAACCAGGACTTTCCGCCGGAGATTACAGCTGGTGAACAAAGAAGAAGGTTCAAAGGGTGAAGAATCAGACAGGCTGGCCTTTTAAACAGTCTGCCCTTCTAACCTCACTTCTGTTTTTAATTTTGTTTAAACATATGCATCTTTCAAAAGATTATTAATAAATTAAACATCTTTTACAATAACAGTAAACCTCGTTAACACATACAATGCATACCTCTCTACATGTAACATGATTGTCTCCAACTTTGTTAGAATACTCTGTGAGTCTGTTACATTCATGACACATGTGCGCAGCTGGTTTTCAAGCCAGCGGAAAGCTGCTGTGACAGCCTCCACCTCCATTCTCACACTAGATGTAGCTGGGTGTGCAGGCAGCCATGCTAGCCATTGTGCTACAAGTACTCCATATTCTACCATCTAGCACACAGAAAAACTACTCTGGGATGTGAACACCAAAGGTGTTGCTTATATCAGGTACCAATCTTCAGCTCCTGCCCCTCTTTCCAGCTGCTACAATTTTTTTCAATCTGATGTGGCATTTGATATGGCCACAATATTTCAGTTTCTGAGACAGGATGCTGTTTACTAGGCAATCTTCCTTAATGTTCAGAGCTTTCAGGATGTCAATATTCCCCATCTTCTTGGTCCATTGTATTCTGAGAATTTGTCTATAGCATTTTAAGCTCACATGTCTTTATTTTCTTCATTAATGACTGTGAGATGGTACATGACTCATATCCATATGTTGCTAAAGGGAAGATCCATGCATTGAAAATTTTGACTTTGATTTCCTTGCTCATGCTTTTAATGCTGTTTTTAATCTTTGTATTGCTTTGGCCATCCTCCTTACACCTTCTGTAGAACAGTCTTCATTTCTGCTTATCTTCTTCTTCTTCTTTGCGTTCACCAGCTGTACACTCTGGTGGAAAGTTCTGGTTGTTCATCCACTTCTGAACTGCAGTCCTGCTCCAGAACCTGAGTGTTGCGTGTGCATCAGTTTTACAGATCTGATTCACTTGAATGCAGACTGTTGGTTCCTTGCCTCTCAGGCAGATGCACTCTGACTTCAAAGGAAGCTCCCCAATTAGTCGACTCTTACGACATGCTTTTGGGTAGGCAGAGGGTCTATTCTTGTTTTCCCCACGATGGGTATTTCTGCTTATTATGAAGCCTAGATATTTAAACTTAATGACTTTCAATGTCTTTATCATTTACTGTTATTTTTAGGTGGCAGGCAGTTTTGTCTGTAGATATTTTTTTTTTCCATTAAATTCTGGAACAGGTTTTGATCTTCAGTGTGTTTTTAGACAGAAATGATGTGGTTTAATTTATCACAGAATTGTGTTAATTCACTTTCGTAGCTAAGTACACTTGCTATTTTGTTCACCAATAAAGATGTTATCTTGTTCTGCATTTTGCTTTAAAATGGAGTAGGCACACTGTGCTGTGGTTTACAGCTAAGCTGCAATATTTCTACTGACAAACATGTGGAAGTTACCTGTAAGAACCACGCTTGGAAAACACCAGCATCAGAAATATAAACAGGCCCACTTCGGCATTCAGGGTAAAAGAGACCAGTTTCTCTAAGATGTCAATGAAACCCTGGAAGGGAAAAGAGAAAAGTGATCAGTCTTTTCAACAGCTTTTAATTTTGTTAGTTAGTTGACATAGAAATCTGATTTTTAAAATTTTTTTGGGAGAAATATGAAAAGTGATGCTACTCTTTGACATCTTTACAATTATGTTATTAATAGACATATCATTCTCACTTTTCTCACTGGAGTATTCAACAGCTGTAGAATCGTGTTAGTTGGCTGATGTAACATTTCCATCATTTTACTTATTGGAGGATTGTGAAATGTGATCCTGCTCAAAGCCTTTTGAATTATGTTAACTAGCTGATATATCATCTTCACTGTACACGTAGAGTGGAGAAATAGGATATCATCTTCACTGTACACGTAGAGTGGAGAAATAGGATATCATCTTCACTGTACACGTAGAGTGGAGAAATAGGATATCATCTTCACTGTACACGTAGAGTGGAGAAATAGGATATCATCTTCACTGTACACGTAGAGTGGAGAGTAGGATATCATCTTCACTGTACACGTAGAGTGGAGAAATAGGATATCATCTTCACTGTACACGTAGAGAGGAGAAATAGGATATCATCTTCACTGTACACGTAGAGTGGAGAAATAGGATATCATCTTCACTGTACACGTAGAGTGGAGAAATAGGATATCATCTTCACTGTACACGTAGAGTGGAGAAATAGGATATCATCTTCACTGTACACGTAGAGTGGAGAAATAGGATATCATCTTCACTGTACACGTAGAGTGGAGAAATAGGATATCATCTTCACTGTACACGTAGAGTGGAGAAATAGGATATCATCTTCACTGTACACGTAGAGTGGAGAAATATGAAAAGTTCTTCTCTTTAACACCTGTAGAAATAGTTATTGTAGTTTGGGCATTACAGTCTGTATATAATTTTTCTGTAGAGGGGAGGGGGGGGGGGGGGGGGACTCTGAGCCCGAATGTTAAGGGTCACATGGCTTGTGCTATAGCTATGAACTGTGCAGGTTAGGATTTTTATCCCCCCCCCCCCCCCAAAAAAAAAATAATCCCTAACCTTGCTGAGAATTTGAACCCAGGTCTTCAGCATGAGAACCCTGTTCTCTTAACCATTTGACCAGCCGCTCTTCTGTTTTTGATGTTAGATACACAAATCCTAACCAGCACTGCACAGCATTGTGGTCCCTCAGGCTCAAGATTTGTCTACTGTAAAAAGTGCAATTTGTGCTGAGTTAGTGGGTCAGTAAAATGTTTTTAACTCGCTGTACACAGGGGATCTGTGTGGTCTCAAGGCATGGTGTTTGTCTCAGTTGCTAGAGATTCCAGGTTCAATCCCTGGTAAGAGCTGCGGTTTTTTCACGTGGACCTGGACTTCTAGTAATTCCCCCTGGTCTATGGGTAATGAGATCGGGACGCCTTTGTGTATTGTTGCATACGTAAAAAAAAATTCCTCAGCAGTTGGAAATCGAAAAGAGTAGCCTAACCGTGCTTTTCAGGCAAAATCTATAGTTAAAAATCTACCCAAAGTATTTCAGGATTCTCGCCCATGCTATAGAGCCTGTGCACTGTGCTGAGCTTCTTCAGACTCAGATTTTAGTTAGAAGAAAAACGGATCACTAAAGGGTTACTACCCGTGTGCCATGATGTGGATCTGTTGTTCAAAAACCTCAAAAAGAAGGACTGGACTTGGGAACCTGGTAACAACTGGAAAGATTGACGGAAAGAGAGCAAGAGGAAGGCAAAGAGATAAATACCTGGATGAACTCAACAGATGGATGGGGTGAGACAAAGTTATTGAACTGATCTGTGATTGTGTGAGATGGCCAAACATGACAACCAAACAGGCACAGCACAAGATGATGATCAGAGGAGAAAATAAGTATTTACATGCACCAAGAGGTCACCGAGGTGATGGTACAACCCACCGACAAACAATGAATAACACAGAATTTGTCAGCTTTGACACAAATTATACACTGCAGTTTTAAACTGTGTAGGTTTTTAAAACCAAAATTCACATGGAGCACATTACAAATGACGATTTTCCCAGTACCATTACTCAACACACTGGTTACTATGAACCCTTTTTTAACAACAGTGAAAAGATGGAAAATGCAAGGATATGAACATGTAAAAAAGATTTACCGGTCTCTCCAAAATGATACTACAGGGATTGGCAGAAGGGGAAGAGAGAAAAAGGAGAAGAGGCAGACAAAGAAAGACCTCACATTCAGAAGCTGGTTGACTAGGCAGGCTTCAAACACACCAACATCAAGTCTACTGCATCTGACCATTACAGGTGGAGGGAAATAATCAAACAATCAACAGCAACTGGTGAACCCAGAGATACTCAACGGTATGAGACAAAGATGATGATGTTTAAAAATGTTTCCTGCGCAAGTTGCACAGTTTGTAGCTGGAATGGTGTGCACATGCTTAACTCAGTGGAGCAGACAGGCAACAAACTGGAAACAGACAACTCACCTCAGGATCCATCATGGCAACAGCAAAGACTAGAGCAAATGCAGCTAGAGAGATTACTGTCCTCATACACCTACAGAAGGAAAAAAAATAAAAAACAATGTCAAACATGTAACAAACCATAAATGTGACAAATCTTCTTTTTCTGTCTTCTTTTCTTTACTCCTGGAATGCAGGAAGAGAGGTCTGGAACAGGCCCTTCTATTCGCTTTTACTTAAAGTACTTTTGGGTGTCTCTGGTATTTCTACGTTCCATGTTATGTGTGGTTGACTTCTGGGGCGGTTACTGCTGCATCTGTTTAATACTGCTCTCTTTAATGCCCTGTCTGACCTTACATATCATCTTCCAAGAACAACGTGCACAAAAGTGAATCTGGTTCCTGCAATCCTTCCTCAGTGTGATGACAACCTTAGAAACGTAACGCATGTTGACTATTATATCTGCCTATTATCTGTTGTAACCAAGGCCTCCATTGACAGCAGATTTGTGTTGCAATTACGGTAGTGGACTGTTTGTGCTGGCACTTCTGATGGCTGCCTTATGCATTTAATTTCATGTGTATGTTAACAGCCTTACAGAGACTGCAGTTTATTTCAGTTTCTTCACAAGGGACAAAGATGGAAATTCATATGATGCAAGGCCGATCTTTTTGTGTAAAGCATTTGGTACTCAATGGGTGAGGTTAACATCATGCCAGCCGCCTTTACTTCCCAGAATAATCTCTGGTACCTATTTTCAACTGAGCCCAACCTGGCAGCCAAAGTCATTTTGAAAACTAAACAAAAAAACTAACTTGATACGGATTCAAACCCACAATTTTCAGGCAGGCAGCTGAGCGTCTAGCTAATACACCACTGCAGTTTTCCTATTAAAAACTCCAATGGAGGAAAAAAGTGTAAAGCATGCGAGCAAGAGGTAGGCAGCAGTACAAAAATAACATCAGTTTGAGAGTTTACAACCAGGGCGATAGCCAGGGAGTGGTGGAGACAAACGTTCGCTGTGGAGACAGCACTTGATTGACTGAGCCAGTACACTTCTGCACTCTTTGAGTGCCAATGAACGCTTGTCTATTTATCTTGTTTATTTAATGACTAAGGATATCTTGTCAGTCAGTGAGCCAGTAGCCTGTCCTTTGCAGAACCTTGCACTCATATAATAGCCTTCTGGAAAACTTCTCAATCACGAGCAAGATGTCCCACATCCGATACACCCATCTGGAGATCATCCACCACATCCTGCACCCATCTTCTCTTTGGCCTTCCACTACCTCTCTTCCCAGGCATATACCCCTCCATTGTTGTTCTCTCTAAACTTTTGTGACGTTTCAAGTGATCAAAATATTTCAATTTTCCTTGTTTTTTTCGTCTTTAATAGCCAACCGTCTTTAATATTCAGTTCTTAAAGTATGGATGTGATTTTGTTGTTGGGACCTATGATATTCTTAAAACCCATCTATAACATTGTATTCAGAAGCATTTATACGGTGTTCAGCTTGTTTAGTAATTGTCCAGGTCTCACAGGCATATTTTGAATGCTGAATTAGGAATCAACATAACGGAACTTGAGACACCCCCATAAGCGCTCCATCGAGTACGACTTGGGGGAAAAGGCAGGGGGAGGTGTAAAGGCTATTCAACTGGTCATTTAAATGTTCAATGTTGAACAAGGAAACGACATCACAGCCCTCTTGGCTGTGTCAAAATTTACTCCCAAATCTCGCATTCTTGGCAGCGATGTGGGTACATCATCCTCATCATCATCATAAACCACTTCTGTCATTAAGCGTTGTGTGGAGGAATAATTTGCGATCCAGTGCACACTGGCTGCCACTAGTTATTGTCATGCCGTGAAGGCGTAGAGTGTCTTTAATGTCGTCGATCCATTTTTCTGCAGCCATCCTCTTGCTCTTGTAGCTGATCTTCTGAGATGTAGTGCTTGTGATGGTATTTGATCTTACTGCATTCTAACAAGATGGCCAAACCACTTCATCTGCTGTTTCTTGGTGAATCTAGTACAAGGTGTCATTCCCACAATTTGCTTGATAGTTTCATTATTCACTCGACCTCGGATGGTTAGGTTGGATGCTTTTCTCAGGCATCTGATTTCGCAGCAGGTGATTTTGCGTATATAGGCTTCAGATAGTGTCCATGTTTGGCACAGATAGCTTAATGTTGGAATGAATATGCTGCTGTCCTTAGTTTGTCAATGGCGCTCATTTGTTGTTGTTCGCTTGCGATCGAAAACTGGTTTGTTCGTCGTGTGTATGATGTGAGTGCTGATTGAATTACGCCGTTTCTTCAAATTCCTCCATAATTCTTGAGCAATTCCCCATGAACAAATAAATTCCCTACCGGCTTGCTGGACCTGTCGCAGGATCATCCTTATTTGAACACACAGATGTTTAAAAATACACAAAACACGCATTTTTGTCCCAAAGAATGTTAACCAACTTTTGTTTACTCCGCCATCTTAATGTGGGTACACTGCCCCAAAAATCTACCACTACTGTGAGCATGATCATGCCAGGTTGAACCACAAACATACTCCTTTTATGTTAAATTTCAATTACATCCTAAAGTAGAACAGTAACATATAGGAGACAATGCATATTTTTTGTTTAAATGCCTTTTACAGATGTTTGAAGCTGAACTGTTAAATGCAAATAAAACAATTTAGTGAACTGGAAGAAACAAATGCAAGCATAATATAGAAAAAAAAGTAGGTACACAAAGATAATTACCATTCTCCTGTTGACTTCTTGTTAACTTTTGATTTATCAGAGCTGGTCCTATGTTTTTTGACAATGACTGTCTGCACGATGCCACTCACTGTCGAAACAAAGCAAACAACAAAGAAGATGAACTCTGAAGGAACCAAACTTGTGGTAAGTAAGTAAAGGACCCTTCTCCTTGATACTAGCATAATGGACATGGTACAGACCAATCAACATTTTGACAGGTCAATACTAGCATAATGGACATGGTACAGACCAATCAGCATTTTGACAGGTCAATACTAGCATAATGGACATGGTACAGACCAATCAGCATTTTGACAGGTCGATACTGACATAATGGACATGGTGCAGACCAATCAGCATTTTGACAGGTCAATACTAGCATAATGGACATGGTACAGACCAATCAGCATTTTGACAGGTTGATACTGACATAATGGACATGGTACAGACCAATCAACATTTTGATGGATCGAAACTGACATAATGGACATGGTACAGACCAATCAGCATTTCGATGGATCGAAACTGACATAATGAACATGGTACAGACCAATCAACATTTTGACGGGTCGATACTGGCATAATGGACATGGTACAGACCAATCAGCATTTTGACAGGTTGATACTGGCATAATGGACATGGTACAGACCAATCAACATTTTGACAGGTTGATACTGGCATAATGGACATGGTACAGACCAATCAACATTTTGACAGGTTGATACTAGCATAATGGACATGGTACAGACCAATCAGCATTTTGACAGGTTGATACTGGCATAATGGACATGGTACAGACCAATCAACATTTTGACGGGTCGATACTGGCATAATGGACATGGTACAGACCAATCAACATTTTGACAGGTTGATACTGGCATAATGGACATGGTACAGACCAATCAGCATTTTGACAGGTTGATACTCGCATAATGGACATGGTACAGACCAATCAACATTTTGACGGGTCAATACTAGCATAATGGACATGGTACAGACCAATCAACATTTTGACGGGTCAATACTGACATAATGGACATGGTACAGACCAATCAACATTTTGACAGGTCAATACTGACATAATGAACATGGTACAGACCAATCAACATTTTGACGGGTCAATACTGACATAATGGACATGGTACAGAACAATCAACATTTTGACAGGTCAATACTGACATAATGGACATGGTACAGACCAATCAACATTTTGACAGGTCAATACTGACATAATGGACATGGTACAGACCAATCAACATTTTGACAGGTCAATACTGACATAATGGACATGGTACAGACCAATCAACATTTTGACAGGTCAATACTGACATAATGGACATGGTACAGACCAATCAACATTTTGACAGGTTGATACTGACATAATGGACGTGATACAGACCAATCAACATTTTGACAGGTTGATACTGACATAATGGACATGGTACAGACCAATCAGCAATTTGATGGATCGATACTGTCATAATGGACATGATACAGACCAATCAGCACTTTGAGAGGTTGATACTGGCATAATGGACGTGATACAGACCAATCAACATTTTGACAGGTCATGTGGTCCACATCATGCCGGCCAACTATACTTCCCAGGACATTACCATGTAGTTTTGTCTTTTAGATCTGTTTTTTTTTTCCTTTTTCTTCTTCTTCTTAGCCTTCCATGGATGTAAACTCCAGTAGATAGGACATAGTTGACTATGTCACAGAAGAAACTGGACAAATATATTGTTTGTGCCTTTATCGTTTAGAACTAACTGTTTTATTTGCTCAATTCCACATCATGGTCTTGTTCTTCTTCTCTTTAGTGTCCAGCAGTTGTAAATACCTACAGAATGCTCTGGTCTTTTTCATCCACTTCTGGACTTTGGTCTTGTTCCAGAACCTGAGAATTGCCTGCACATCTGTTTAACACATTGGGCTTATGTGTATACAGACTGTTGGTTCCTTGCCCCTCTGGCAGATGCAGTCAGACTTTGAAGGAAACACTTTTATGACACACTTGCTGGGGCGGGGGTGTTGTGATTATTCTGTTTTGGCTTTGCTAATGCAGTTTCCACATATGGATGGTAGTTTACACTTTGGTGCAGCCCTGTGTTTTTTTGTGTGGAATGCCTTTCATTTGTGCAGCGGCTGAGTCATGGTATTCAATATGGCCGGCAGCCAGTTTACTTGTGGGCTGGTGAAATACTGTATGTAATAATTCTACATGTGTATAGCCAACTTATCGCACCCGACTACTTCCATCAACCACAAACTACATTTCTGGTGGCAACTTGGCTTTAGCGGTTCTAGCAAATGCCTTATGCATTCACTGCAAATGCATATTTTCTAGGACTAATAGTTCACCAGTTTTTCAAATGCGACAGTGGGGGAAATTTCATTTGATTTTCACGGGCACAGGAATGGAGCAAGTATGGGGAAACCCAACTGCAGAGAAGTTGAAACCTTGAAAAGGATTAAGACCTGAACTACCTCAATATATGATTAAAACATCATTTTTTGACAGAAAGCTGGGACTTTTCTGCGGCCCATGGGTTGAATAACACTGCTCTATATGACTACCATTGTTTTAAAAACACATTAAGCATGTATTAGCAAAGTAAAGTTATGCATCTTATGGTGTTTGTGATATGTTTTAGTGCTTTATTATCCAATTCCAAACAGGAGAAATCTACAGGTCACGGGACAGACTAATATTTCAGGGGGTGGTAGATGGGCTGCATGCAGTTGTGGGACCTAGACTGCACTCTCTCGTGAGATGTAGGTGAGTTGGGGTTAGGGCCAGTTCTAAATGTTTTGGGGTCGTTAAAAGCATCAGAAAGCCGGGGAACCAAGTCTTCCCACCCTCTAAAATGTTAGACTGTCCTGTGACGTCATCTGGGGTAGGATATTAATAAAGAACCTATGTTTGTCCTATTTATGGAAACACCCTGCGTGCATATGTGTGTGTATGTGTTTGCATATATTTTTAATAAAAGATGAATTACAAAACTAAGTTCATAAATCAACAACAATGAAAGTTGTAATCATCGGCTTACATGTGTGATGAAGAGCCGTTCCTATGGTCAGGTAAGAGACAGAAATGCTGACCAGAATAAAGACCTGAATTAAAATTGCAACCCAGGTAAAATGTGGATGATCCCGCTTGAGCAGTTTTGTCAGTGGAATTGTGGAAATTTCACCCTTGGCCGCAGCGCTGCAACAGAAGTATTTTACCACAATTTTACCACAGACATCACTGATATACAATATTAAACCATTCTCAGAATGTCCATCACAAACAAGCAACGATCACAGACATCACTGACATGCATTGTTAAACCATTCTCAGAATGTCCATCACAAACAGGAAACACCCATAGATATCACAGACATACAATTTTAAACCATTCTCAAAATGTCGATCGCAAACAGGAAACGACCACAAATATCACTGACATACAATTTTAAACCATTCTCAGAATGTCCATCGCAAACCGGAAACACCCACAGACATCACTGACATATGAGGCTAAAAATTTCTTACAAAACTAATCGGAATGGCTAACCCGGACAACAAGTGCCTAAAAAAGTTGTATGTGTCTGCCAAAAGGTTTTTTTTAAGAGGCTCTGTTGTCTTGTCCATTGAGTTTTCCTGTCACTCTGTTGATAAAGACTTCTTTTCGAAATGTACGGCTGTATTTGTGCATATCTTTTCCATTCATTCCTTTGAGCTTTTGAGTAACATTTTAGGTTATTTAGCAATACTTTCTTTGGATGAACCAATGAGTAGATGGTAAATAGTACAGACACAGTTAAGAGCAAACAGACTCTTTTCCAAGCTTTCAGGCACACTGGGCATATAGGGCTAGACCTATATTTTATAGACCAATCGGCACTTGGTAGGTGATGCGCTCAAGATCATGCAGACTGCCTTTACCTCCCAATACTTTATCTGACACCCACTCAAGGCCGGGTCAAACTGGGAGCCCAGGTCATTTTTAAAAACAAGATTTGCTTCCATCATGACCCAAACCCATCATCCGCAGGCGAGGCTCTAGCCCGTGTTAATAGCAACCAGATGATATAGACATGATTACATTACAATGGACACCAAATCCTGGAAGGCTAACTCGGGGCAAGAAAAGCCTGAAGAGACTGGATGTGTCAGTAGAAAGGTGCAGATATCGCAGCCATGCTGTAAACATGCACTATAAATTTACATCTTCGAATAAATAAGAAAAAGAAGAAGAAGGAAGAAAACAGATGATGGTTTGCCAAATTACCTCTCCAGAGACATTTCTCCAACACAAGTGTAACTAGATTCTTCTCTGGCAGTAGAATTCACATGCAGCCTGAGCCTGGCACTTTCTGCTGCACATTCTTTGGCAACAGTCTGAGGCACAATTTCTAGCACTGTCCAGCACCTAGAGATGAGAGCATCACAAATTGAAATACCACACAAACAGCAAACATCACAAAATGAAATACCACACAAACATCAAACATTACAAAATGAAATACCACACAAACAGCAAACGTGACAAAATGAAATACCACACAAACAGCAAACATGACAAAATGAAATACCACACAAACAGCAAACATGACAAAATGAAATAAAACACAAACAGCAAACATGACAAAATGAAATACCACACAAACAGCAAACATGACACAATGAAATACCACACAAACAGCAAACATGACAAAATGAAATACCACACATAAGCAAACATGACAAAATGAAATGCCACACAAACAGCAAACATGACAAAATGAAATACCACACAAACAGCAAACATGACAAAATGAAATACCACACAAACAGCAAACATGACAAAATGAAATACCAAACATAAGCAAACATGACAAAATGAAATACCACACAAACAGCAAACATGACAAAATGAAATACCACACATAAGCAAACATGACAAAATGAAATAAAACACAAACAGCAAACATGACAAAATGAAATAAAACACAAACAGCAAACATGACAAAATGAAATACAACACAAACAGCAAACATGACAAAATGAAATACCACACAAACAGCAATCATGACAAAATGAAATACCACACAAACAGCAAACATGACAAAAAGAAATAAAACACAAACAGCAAACATGACAAAATGAAATACCACACAAACAGCAAACATGATGAACATAATATGAATAAGTGGAACATAACATGCTAAACAGAACAATTATTACAAAAAATATGATGTTACACATCCAAATTACCATACAAATCTAATAAACATAATATAAAATAGAGGACTAAACTATAGAACAAACAGATAAAATATAAGCTTTGCAATTAAAACTCTCATGAAAAGCACTAAGAATAAACAGAAAAAAAACAAAACACACATAGAAAATATAAGCTTTGAGATTAAAACTATCAATTCTGGTAAAAGAAAACACTAAAAAATAAAAGGCATAAAGCAGTCAGTCCCATGACAGAGTCTGCCATTAGAGAGTAAAGTGTTTGGTCACATATAATCACATTGGCGAACCAGCACATTTCCGTCTCAGACTTCTGACAATTACCAGGCACCCATCTTAGCACACTGGATCATCCTAATAACCCTACTGGCAGCATAAAATAATCTGACCACTGTTAGGGATTGAACCGGAGCTGTAATATAATCTTGGTAAGCATGGCTACCAGTCATCAGCTAAATTAGTGGTAGGTAGGTAGGTAGTTGTACCCCACTAGGACATCACACTAGCGATTAACACCTGATGACACAAAAAGCCACTATACAGATGAGGATCACCAGTGGAGAAGTCCCAGAAACCCCTTTCAGCCGTTTAGGCTAGGCCATATTTATGTCCCTGACTGATTTTCTACCCCACCAGGACATCACACAAGCGATAAACACCCGTTGACACGAAGTGCCACCATGTGGATGAGTATCACCCGTATAGAGATGCAGCCTTTAGACCATATTTATGTCCGGCTATATTTCAGCCCCCGGGGAGAGCCAAAGTAGGGTTTCAAAATGACAAAACCTGCATCCCATGAGTGGACAACTTTGAACATTTAAGTTATAAATTATTAATTGACAAACAAAGGATAAAAGTTGAAAACATACTGGTGGTATTTTCACCAACCTAAATGTCTGCTTCTCCAGTAGACTACTGCTGTAACTAAAGTTAGTTTCCTTTTGGAAAGTCACCACAAGTTAATTCTCTTTTGGGAAGTCATCAAATTTTATATTCTTAAGGAAGTAAGTAAATTTTTACCCCATTAGGATATCACACAGAGTGATAAACACCTGGTGACACAAAGTGCCACCATGTGGATGAGGATCATCCATGGAGAAGTTCTGGAAACCGCGTTCAACTGTCAGGCTATATTGCAGCCCCTGGAAACAACCAGGGTGGGGCTTCAAAATAACGAAAAATTGCATCCCACAAGGGGGATGGCTTATTCTAGTGTATTTTTACTTTGCTTTTGGAGATAAGCTGCTCCAGATTGTGAATTGTTTTCTGTTCAAAGTTGTTTTTTTTTTCCTTTAAAAAATATATGAAAAAAAAAAAGCCTTCTGGGACTGAAAGAATTAACATTAAAGTTCTAACTGGGACTGACCAGATGATGTTTAGTAACACACATGTCCACAGGCCTGCCTGTACAGCAGCATGGTACTTGGATATCTGCAACATATTCAAGCCATGTGTTCTAACTGTGGTGAATATGTTTGATGGTTATTTGTTTTGTACAACATATTCAAGCCATGTGTTCTAACTGTGGTGAATATGTTTGATGGTTATTTGTTCTCTACAACATATTCAAGCCATGTGTTCTAACTGTGGTGAATATGTTTGACGGTTATTTGTTCTGTACAACATATTCAAGCCATGTGTTCTAACTGTGGTGAATATGTTTGATGGTTATTTGTTCTGTACAACATATTCAAGCCATGTGTTCTAACTGTGGTGAATATGTTTGATGGTTATTTGTTCTCTACAACATATTCAAGCCATGTGTTCTAACTGTGGTGAATATGTTTGATGGTTATTTGTTCTCTACAACATATTCAAGCCATGTGTTCTAACTGTGGTGAATATGTTTGACGGTTATTTGTTCTCTACAACATTTTCAAGCCATGTGTTCTAACTGTGGTGAATATGTTTGATGGTTATTTGTTCTCTACAACATTTTCAAGCCATGTGTTCTAACTGTGGTGAATATGTTTGATGGTTATTTGTTCTCTAAAACATTTTCAAGCAATGTGTTCTAACTGTGGTAAATATGTTTGACGGTTATTTGTTCTGTACAACATTTTCAAGCAATGTGTTCTAACTGTTGTGAATATGTTTGATAGTTATTTGTTCTCTACAAAATATTCAAGCAATGTGTTCTAACTGTGGTGAATATGTTTGATGGTTATTTGTTCTGTACAACATATTCAAGCAATGTGTTTTTTACTGTGGTGAATATGTTTAATGGTTATTTGTTCTGTACAACATATTCAAGCAATGTGTTCTAACTGTGGTGAATATGTTTGATGGTTATTTGTTCTGTACAACATATTCAAGCAATGTGTTCTAGCTGTGGTGAATATGTTTGAAGGTTATTTGTTCTCTACAAAATATTCAAGCAATGTGTGCTAATTGTGGTGAATATGTTTGATGGTTATTTGTTCTGTACAACATATTCAAGCAATGTGTTTTTTACTGTGGTGAATATGTTTGATGGTTATTTGATCTGTACACATATACAAGCAATTATGTTTAATCGAAGTGTACATGTTTGATGTGTTTTTATTTATCTATACAACATACATAAGACTGAAAGATTGGCACCTTTCCATCTTTCCAGACGATAGTGTTATACTGCGCTATGAGGAGGCATGAGACTCACAGCCCATGAAAAAATGGCGAGTGTGACTATCAATATCCACCTACATTTAGAACAGTTATAGCATCAGATTTCAGGACCATTGTCAACATTTGTGTTTCTTCTCAGACGCTCAGCTCTCATCCTTTCTGCAATCATTTCTTCCTTCATTCTCATTCCCTTCCTGATGTGCCCCCTCCATACAACACGGTCCTTGACATTTTGTTTCCATGAGTCTACCTCAATACCTGTATCATTCGTGTCCCGCTTGCACACGGGACACAAATTGTATTGTATTGTCTTGTATTGTATTGGAAAGTGCATGAGGTGGAAGAGCTGGCAAGGGACTCAGTTTCTTTCAGGCAGATTCTGATGAGAGTGATGTTCTGCAAAAGACCTGCTACATGATGATGCTGATGTCTTTATATCATACATACATCTCCAATACTTTAAAAACAAACTTTACAAAACTAACCTGCTTTTTCTTGAAGGCAATTTTTTCAAATGTATATGGCATTGTGTTGACAACACCTCCTGCAAGCAATCACAAATAACATATATGCTCATTAAAAATATTCACCATAAGTAGCACATTTGAGCCACAAATATGAATTTGAACTATTAACTGTGTTTCCTACTTCAAATCATCTCTTCCTCGTGTGGGTTCCGGGACCCTATTGTGGGAAAAACAAGAATAGACCCACTGCCTGCCCAAAAGCATGTCTATATCTATGGTTTTGCTGATTGAGCTACTGAGTTTAGTGCTTGGTGCAACCCTGTGAGCTGTTTTTTCTGTAGAATGCCTTTCATTTGGGCAGCGACTGTGTTGTGGCATTAAATATTACGCACGAGGTGGTGACACACCTAATGTAATAATTCTACAAGTGCATAGCCAACTTATCGTTCCCAACTACTTCCATCAATGACAAACTGCATTTCTGGTGGTGACTGTTGGCTTTGGCACCTTATGCAACTGAAATTTGCATTTACTATGTGCACATATTTCTGGAATTTTTCCGGAACTAATTGTCTGTTCACCAGTTTTTCACATGTGACAGTGAGTGACATTTTATTTGATTTTCACTGGCACAGGAATGGAGCAGGTATGGGGAAATCCTATTGCAGTGAAGTTGAAACCTTGACTAAGACTAATTGTGTCATATGGTTAAACATAGTTTCTGGGATCTGCTTCTGACTGATTCTCACCCTTGAGGTGTTAATCTCTTAAAAACTTTAATCCTGAAGGGGAACAATGACGACAACCACCCCACATTAATCCTGAAGGGGAACAATGACGACAACCACCCCACATAAATCCTGAAGGGGAACAATGACGACAACCACCCCACATTAATCCTGAAGGGGAACAATGACGACGACCACCCCACATTAATCCTGAAGGGGAACAATGACGACAACCACCCCACATTAATCCTGAAGGGGAACAATGACGACAACCACCCCACATTAATCCTGAAGGGGAACAATGACGACAACCACCCCACATTAATCCTGAAGGGGAACAATGACGACGACCACCCCACATTAATCCTGAGGGGGAACAATGACGACCAACCACCCCTGAAGGGGAACAATGACACATTAATCATGACGGACAATGACGACCCACATTAATCCTGAAGGGGAACAATGACGACGACCACCCCACATTAATCCTGAAGGGGAACAATGACGACCACCACCCCCCACATTAATCCTGAAGGGGAACAATGACGACAACCACCCCACATTAATCCTGAAGGGGAACAATGACGACAACCACCCCACATTAATCCTGAAGGGGAACAATGACGACGACCACCCCACATTAATCCTGAAGGGGAACAATGACGACAACCACCCCACATTAATCCTGAAGGGGAACAATGACGACGACCACCCCACATTAATCCTGAAGGGGAACAATGACGACGACGACCACCCCACATTAATCCTGAAGGGGAACAATGACGACAACCACCCCACATTAATCCTGAAGGGGAACAATGACGACGACCACCCCACATTAATCCTGAAGGGGAACAATGACGACGACCACCCCACATTAATCCTGAAGGGGAACAATGACGACAACCACCCCACATTAATCCTGAAGGGGAACAATGACGACGACCACCCCACATTAATCCTGAAGGGGAACAATGACGACAACCACCCCACATTAATCCTGAAGGGGAACAATGACGACGACCACCCCACATTAATCCTGAAGGGGAACAATGATGACAACCACCCCACATTAATCCTGAAGGGGAACAATGACGACAACCACCCCACATTAATCTTGAACCACTACAGACATCTGAGCTTGCAGAGGGAAAAAGATCTTAGCAACACAGATCCTAAGGAGAAATTATTTTGATACCAGATCAGAGGATTTCTCTATATCAACTTCACACACTGTGTGGCAAATCTGGCTGTATCTCGCCATGGTGAAACTGCTATGGTAATCATGTGGCTAATCTTGACCTTCTGATGCAGAGATGTGTTGTTTGTCCATCACGAGTGATGAAGACCTCTTTCATCCAAAGTAGTAATGATCAAGGATTATGAGTACGAAGGTGGCTGATTAGTCCAATATGAGCCAGGAAAGTTCTTGAGCAGTGCGGACAACAGATGGAAGCCGCAGTAAGTGTGGGATTAGCAATACGATTCTTTCTAGTCTGCCTCCGTTTCTCTGCCCGTGCAACCTCTGCTGCCTGGTAGGCTGAGGCACCGTGTCTGAGGGATGTACGCCATCCACAACAGTCTTGTGCAGCAGCCTCCCAGTGTGGATGCTAGGCAGATTTGCCCTATCAAGAACCACAGTATTTGATCCCAAGAGATGTACAGTGTAACTTGACGATGTCTTTTTCTACCTTTCTAACCCCCAATGGAACACAGGCCCTCAACCAATTCACACCAAGTCGTTCTGTCCTTTTTTGGATCTTCCTTTATTTCTATGCCCCTGTGGGTTCCAGCGCAAAAATATTCTATTTATATAACTTGACAATGTGACTTGTGTATTTCAGTTATAAGGATTCATGTTCTCTTCTTCACTTTATGTTGACATACACTGTGTAGTAATACCCCTTACAAGAAACAACAAAATATGCCAGGCAATAATATGTGCAATGTATTGTCTGGTTCCGTATGATTTAAACTTTGTCATCCACTGGACTTTCAGACAAACAGGCACTTACCAATAGCCACAGTTCCCATGAGAAATGGAGCTCCAACATGAAGCGAAGTCATTGCTAACTGTTTCAGCTACGGTGAGACCCACATAAAATGTCACTGCTGCCTGAAGAGAAAACAAAATGAATACAAAATTCACTCTGCTTCCATAAATGCAGAGCAGACACATGACCCTCTGGTAGTGGGTTTCTTCTTCTTTTCTTTACTTCTGGGCTAATCCAGGGAATCGTCATGTCCTGCACATAACTGCTTAACCTAATATCCGTATACTGACTCACTACAGGCTACACCGTTTAATTTATGTTATGTTATCACAATTGACGTCATAGCACACTGGACATTCCCATGTGTGCTCAGTCCTCAGATGCAGCAGCCACTCCAAAGTACTTCTTCTAATTGTTTCCATGAGAAGCTGGTTATAATGTCTCCTATTTGGGCCTCGAAGATGGCATAGAGGTGCTTTACCATGCTTTACTCCCATGTCACGCAATGGTGTTAGTGTCAGGGATTCCTCATTATCCACTTGCCCAGTCCGTACAGCGTTGATGATATCTGCTCTGTCCATGCTTCTTTCCTCATGCCTTGGTGCAATGCTTGCCAATTGGTCCGCTCGCTCATTTCCCTTTACGCACGCATGACCAGGTTTGTAGATCCAGGTGAGGGAGTTTAAGTGTGATTAAGCTTTCTACACATTCAGAGCACATACCACCTGTTGCTATCTACTGAAGCATATTCATGGAGTCTGATACAATTACTGCCTGTGTGGCAGTTTGCTCAGATACCCATGCTAATGCACTTTAGGTATCCCCAGGAAGCAGTCTGCAGACTTGAGACTCCGATTCCCTGCACAAATAGGCATTTCATCTGCTTCAACATGATAGACTTCTCTCTTTCATCTGCTTCAACATGATAGACTTCTCATTTCATCTGCTTCAACATGATAGACTTCTCATTTCATCTGCTTCAACATGATAGACTTCTCATTTCATCTGCTTCAACATGATAGACTTCTCATTTCATCTGCTTCAACATGATAGACTTCTCATTTCATCTGCTTCAACATGATAGACTTCTCATTTCATCTGCTTCAACATGATAGACTTCTCATTTCATCTGCTTCAACATGATAGACTTCTCTCTTTGGCAACGGAATCTTTCATGTGGATGTTCCAGAACACTGGCTGCAGCATTTAAGGGAAGCAAGCAACAGGCAAGGCTTACCTGCCTGATCAATACACTCTTGACAAGTGTGGCCACTGGTAGTGGACATTTGAGTCTGTGATGTCATGAAGCAGGATCTTTGGGAGAGGAACAACTGAACCTTTGCTGTGTGTGCACACGTCCGTGTGTGTGTATTATGTATGTATGTATGTCTGTCTGTCTGTATGTATGTATTTATATGTGTGTATGTATGCATTATGTATGCATGTATGAATGTATTATTTATACATGTATGTATTTATGTATGTATATATGTATGTGTGTATTTATAAATGTAATCATGTATTTATGTATGTATATATGTATGTATTTATTTATAAATGTAATCATGTATGTATGTATGTATGTATGTATGTATGTATGTATGTATGTATGTATGTATGTATGTATGTATGTATGTATGTATGTATGTATGTATGTATGTATGTATGTATGTATGTATGTATGTATGTATGTATGTATGTATGTATGTATCTATCTATCTATGTATGTGTATGTATGTATGTAGTTGTAGGTGCAAGGAGTGTATGAATAAGTGAGTGAGTGAGTGAGTGAGCGTGTTGTGTGTGTGCATGCGCGCACATGCATTTACCCTCCATTCTTTTGTGTTTTTTCCTTTATATTCATATTGTGCATATTGTTATATAAAGAAACATGCTTTATGAGTCAAATTCAATTGCTATGTGAAAGATGAGTGTTCGAAAGGGATGAACGTAAAACAGGCCTGCATGCCCAATTAGTAAATAAAGTTCGTTAATTCATTCACTGGTTTTCTGACTTCACCTTTTTCACTTGCTACTGGAACCTCAATCTAAGGAGAAAGATTTTAGAATGTAACAATTCATGGTTCAGATTGGCTTGGATTAGGCTGGTCACACAGCACAGTCAGACTGGCTGTCTCTAGACCTAAGTTGGGCACGTTTCCTTCACACAGAACAGTCAGACTGGCTGTCTCTAGACCTAAGTTGGGCACGTTTCCTTCACACAGCACAGTCAGACTGACTGTCTCTAGACCTAAGTTGGGCACGTTTCCTTCACACAGCACAGTCAGACTGGCTGTCTCTAGACCTAAGTTGGGCACGTTTCCTTCACACAGCACAGTCAGACTGACTGTCTCTAGACCTAAGTTGGGCACGTTTCCTTCACACAGCACAGTCAGACTGGCTGTCTCTAGACCTAAGTTGGGCACGTTTCCTTCACACAGCACAGTCAGACTGACTGTCTCTAGACCTAAGTTGGGCACGTTTCCTTCACACAGCACAGTCAGACTGACTGTCTCTAGACCTAAGTTGGGCACGTTTCCTTCACACAGCACAGTCAGACTGACTGTCTCTAGACCTAAGTTGGGCACGTTTCCTTCACACAGCACAGTCAGACTGACTGTCTCTAGACCTAAGTTGGGCACGTTTCCTTCACACAGCACAGTCAGACTGACTGTCTCTAGACCTAAGTTGGGCACGTTTCCTTCACACAGCACAGTCAGACTGACTGTCTCTAGACCTAAGTTGGGCACGTTTCCTACCAGAGTTTTTAGCATTTCTTTGAAATCTGCAAATTCAAATTCAAACCTAATTTTTCAGTGGAAACTCAGTTTAAATTAAAAAAAAAAAGTTAGTTGTGTGTCCTTTACAGGATGTTGCAGAACAAATCACAGCTTCCTTTTCTTCAAAATCTGTTTGTGATTTCACTAGGCAATTTTACTTTCAGCATTTAGTAAAGCAAATGGGTAATAAGTCATACTTACGGTTCCCAAGAGTAGAGTCCCCTTGATAAAAGTGAGGAAGGACACCACAGACTTAATTAGCTGAAGGGCAAACACTATGGCCAGTGTTAAAACCCACACAAAAACAGGTATCACATAAAAGTGGCTGAAATGGATTTTGAAAAAAGCAACAAATAATTGGTATACATAGAGAATGACACAATGAGAGACACATAGTGCACGCACAAAAGAAATTCTTTTTTTCTTGCGCCTTTCATTTGCTTGAAAAAAATTATCTATATCTGGAATGTAGACTCTAGTATGAACATCATTTTCTGTTGTAATTCACTCAGTGACTCATAAAGTTTGGGTTGCACCGATGCTTTTCTTGGCCAAAGTTTTGCTTTGATATGTTGTATTTGGGACAGTCTTGGAGAGGATGATCTGTTCTCAGGAGCTAATCCACATATTCAAAAAGCTGATTTACTAATCTTTTATTTTGTATATATGTGGCTGCGAAATTGATTGTGCCCTGTTCTAAGGCCTAGATAATGAACGTGCTCTGGTCTGTCCATAATATGATAATAGTCTTGTGCCAGTTTTGGTGGCTTCCTGATTGTTTTGATTATTCTCTTCTTCTGTTGTAATTCACTCAGTGACTCATAAAGTTTGGGTTGCACCGATGCTTCTTTTGGCCAAAGTTTTGCTTTGATACGTTTTATCTGGGACAGTCTTGGAGGGGGTGATCTGTTGTCAGGTGCTAATCCACATCCGTTGATTCGCCAATCTTAAATTTTTTGTATAAGTGGCTGTGAATTCAACTGTGCCCTGTTCTAAGGCCTAGAATAATGACTTGCTCTGGTCTGTCCATAATATGATAAAAGTCTTGTGCTGGTTAAGGCGGCTTCCTGATTGATTTGATTATTCTCTTCTTCTGCTGATGAGAGACTGACCACCCCACAGTCAGGTTGTTCTTCATTTGCTTCAAATATCTGAATGACAGCAGATCAGAGACGGACCAAGAAGAGGGCAGAGAGATAATATCCACTAAGAATTACAAGCACTCAAGAGTTACGAAATGGAAAGAGAAAGTCAATCACAGTGATGCATGAAGGTGAGTGACATGGACCTCAAGGGCTCAGAATTCTGAAGGAGAATGTTGAATGTTGAATTAAGAATCAACATCACAGTACTACGGACATTCCCATAAGTGCTCCATCTTCGTCTTCAGCAGCAAGCAAAGAGTTCCAATTCCGATGGTACCAGTAACTGTCTGACTGTATATACGTTTTGCCTTTCCCTGAGTGTTGAGCGTCGGCCAGATACCCTGGTAACTCCTCGCAGTGCCTTTCTCCTCAGACCGTAATGATCTATCTGTGCTATTACACTGTTACTAGCTTCAAAAGGGCCCTAACAACATCTAGCTTGTCATATATCAATTCACCACTGAGGGGTGCAGAACCGGCCAATCTGTCTGTCTGCTCATTTTCTAACACACTGATGTTTAAGGAGAAGAAGATAACTACCTGGTTTTAGTAGCGCAGTGGCTTGGAGGCTTACCTGCCACCAGATTGTCAGTGGTTGGATTCTGAACCGAGCCTTAAATGGGTACATGGATATTTCCTGAGAAGTAATGCAGTTGGCATTCCTCACTGAGCACTAACTTCTTCTTCTTTTTCTGCCCTTTATCACAAAATGGAAAACAGGCTCTCAAGAAACTCATGCCGTCGTTGCCCATTCTTTGCTATTACAATAGAGCTCACCTCATATCCTCCCCATTTTTTTTCTTCAAATATCACTATCTATTTTATTTTTCCATGTGTTTTCCGGTCTGTATATTTAATTGCCCCTGTGGGTTCTAGTGTAAAGCTTTTCTTGTTATACTGTTCTCAGGTTTTCTCAACATGTATCCTATTCAACGCCAGCATCTTTTCTTCACCTTCTGATTGTGCACAGGACAAAACAGAAAAAAGAAAATGAATGCAAGCCATACATGATGCACACATGACACAACAGGATAATGAGAATGTGATATATAAACTCTTTCCTCTCTGTTTGTCTCTCTCTCCTGTCTGTCTCTCTCTTCTGTAAATCTCTCCCCTATCTATCCATCCATCCATCCATCTATCTATCCACCCATCCATCTATCTTCCCTTATGGCTCCTACATATCAAAGAAATTAGGGTGCAAACATTCTAACTAAACAAATCAGGTATCAAAAACTTACTGAATTCCAATCAGCTGGGCAAAAGCTTCACTTCCAGCAAGAGCATAGCAGATGAGAAGAGCAATACTAAAAGAAAAGATCACAAATTAAAAAATAACACACATAAGCTTATTAGTTGATGTACATGCCCTCAGATAAGTGCGAAGGGTGGAGGACTTTTGAGATCCTGATTCCACTTCACTCACCAGAATAAAAGACTCGGGAATTAACATCGGCATAGCCAAAAGCGAGAGACATATCAGGACGCTGGGGTTCATATTGAGGGAAGGATCTGAGCACCTATGGACATATCAGGAGTGCAATGATTATATCCCAACTAACTGACTAACTAACTAACTGACTGACTGACTGACTGACTGACTGACTGACTAACTAACTAACTAGATAAACATATAATATTAGGCGGACAACTTTCAAGCAAAAAGTAAAAATAACTAAAATAAAAGTAACAGTAACAAGTATATCAGGTGGACAACTCTCAACTAAAAATTTAAAAATGTGTTTATGAGGTGAACAACTGTGAACTAACAGTAACAAATTTATTAGGTGGAAAACTCTCAATTAAAAGTAACACATTTATTAGGTGGATAACTCTTAATTAAAAGTAACAAGTTTTTTAGGTGGACAACTTTCAACTAACAATAACAAGTTTATCAGGTAGACAACTCTCAACTAACAGTAACAAATTGTTTTGGTGGACAACTCTCAACTAAAAGTAACAAGTTTTTTTAGGTGGACAACTCTCAACTAACAGTAACAAGTTTATCAGGTAGACAACTTTCAACTAAAAGTAACAAGTTTCTTTTAGGTATACAACTCTCAACTAACAGTAACAAGTTTTTTTAGGTGGACAACTCTCAACTAACAGTAACAAGTTTTTTTAGGTGGAAAACTCTCAACTAAAAGTAACAAGTTTATTAGGTGGACATTTCTCAACTAAAAGTAACAAGTTTATCAGGTGGACAACTTTCAACTAACAGTAACAAATTGTTTTGGTGGACAACTCTCAACTAAAAGTAACAAGTTTTTTTAGGTGGACAACTCTCAACTAACAGTAACAAGTTTATCAGGTAGACAACTCTCAACTAAAAGTAACAAGTTTTTTTTATGTATACAACTCTCAACTAAAAGTAACAAGTTTTTTTAGGTATACAACTCTCAACTAATAGTAACAAGTTTTTTTAGGTGGACAACTCTCAACTAACAGTAACAAGTTTATTAGGTGGAAAACTCTCAACTAAAAGGGTACAATAATTTTAACTTACCCCATGACATCACAGTGAAGTCACGGGAGAATTTAAATAATTTCCAGTGGGGTAAGGTTGGGAGGAATTTTTTCCTTTTTTTAGAGTGCATCGCAAAAGTGCGCATTTGTTGGTAGAAAGAGGTCCGCAATTTACATGTGACTGAGGCCCTAGTAGTGTATATTTTCGGTCTCGATAATTTGGGACTGTTATTCGGAGGATAGCCCAAAAAAAAAAACAATTTACATTAAATTTTTTTTTTTAATATAAAAAAATGATGTCACGTAGGGACTGAATGCAGCACCTTTCATTTATAAGGCGGATATGATATCATCTATGCTATACATTCACATGACAAAGTAATATAAAAACATGACCAGTATTGTACACCGGGCAATTGTGCATCAACAAGCAGCCGACAGATATATACAAAAAAAAAAAAAAAAACACTAGAAGAAAAACGACAGCATCAGCACACTTGCACCCCTTGAGATAGTGGACTGTCAAGTCAGCTGTGGAATTCCCACAGACTTCTCGTGTTTGGGGTATGAAAATAATATTGTACCACTAAAAGTAACAAGTTTATCATGTTGACAACTCTCAACTAAAAGTAACAAGTTTATTAGGGGTTGATAACTCTCAAATCAAAGTGAAAATGTGTTTATTAGGTGGACAAATTTCAGTGGATAGCTGACAATCAAAAGTAAACATCGACAGTTTAGTATGCAGCTGGACAATTTACAACCAAAGTACACATAAACAGTTTATTATGTCAGCAACTCACAACCAAAGTACATATAAACAGTTTATTGTATGGGCAACTCACAACCGAAGTACATATAAACAGTTTATTGTATGGGCAACTCACAACCAAAGTACATATAAACAGTTTATTGTATGGGCAACTTACAACCAAAGTACATATAAACAGTTTATTGTATGGGCAACTCACAACCAAAGTACATATAAACAGTTTATTGTCTGGGCAACTCACAACTGAAGTACAAATAAACAGTTTATTATGTCAACAACTCACAACTGAAGTACAAATAAACAGTTTATTATGTCAACAACTCACAACTGAAGTACAAATAAACAGATTATTATGTCAACAACTCACAACTGAAGGATGATAATGACATCAAAAGCCTGTGACAGTCCACAGCCCAAAAACAGCTTTCCCAAAAGATGCAGGTTTGGAGTCTGAACTACAGGGATCTCCCGAATGTGCAGCATTTTCCCTTTCATGATGGCACCTGTGAATTGAACTGAAATGTCATAAAATCCCATGGTCATTACACACATTGATTATCTGCCAGTTTGTTCACTGAGATTTGACTGCCAAATCAGTTTGTTCACTGAGATTTGACTGCCAAATCAGTTTGTTCACTGAGATTTGACTGCTAAATCAGTTTGTTCACTGAGATTTGACTGCTAGATCAGTTTGTTCACTGAGATTTGACTGCCAAATCCTATTTACCTTATCAACCAAATAACTATCTGCCCGCCTGACTTCCATTATAAGCCAGATGACTGGTAGGCTCAAAGTGAAGTACCTTCATAGGCATCCGTGTAGGGTGAAAAGTAAAGGATCCTTTCCATGCCACTGGTAATCGGGCATATGATGCCAGATTATTTTTTACAAACCAAATCAACCCATCAGTGGGTAATTTGGTCAACATTATACTGGCCGTGTTTACTTCCCAGGAAATATCCCTGGTACTTATTTTAGGCTGGGTTGACCTAGAAGCCAAGGTAAATTGTTTCTTAAAAAAATATGTCTAGATGTGGTATTGAACCCACGACATTCTGGCCAGCAGGTCAGTGTTCAGCCACTACACACCTATGGCTCCCAAAAAGAGTGATGAAGGATGACACACCCACTCATGAACTAGGACAGCACAGACAGCTGTAGTCCAGAAACTACTTTAGGGCAAGCACCAAGCCTAGAATGCCCTGGTACTATCTGCCACAGCGAGCCACACTAAAACGTTACAACGGGTACAGAGCGAGTGGAAGACCTCGGAAAATATGGAGTGATGGCATTAAGAACAGCCTTTCAGAAATGAACATCAGTCTTAATAATGCTCTTGACAGAACTCATCAACATACATTACATCTCCCCCCGACACTTCGATGAGGTACAAGGTGCAGGAGAAGAAGAAGAAGAAGAACCAAGGAACAACATATCGGGTGCAAATAATTGCATCAAGCAACCATGAAACTAGTGATCTTTTTGCAGGTTTCAACTACATAATTTATCCATCTCTTTCTTTGTCTTCTCTTCGTCTTTCTCCACGATGTACTGCTGCAAACAAATCTCATTTGTAGTTTGCCATAGGGGCTATATTGGATATAATGCCTCACTCTATTTGCGATTATTAATTGCACCTTTATATCTTCCCATTTTTATAGGCTAATCAGCACTTACCAGGTGATGTGATCACTGTCATGACAGCCACCTTTACTTTCCACAACAATTCCTGGCAGATTTACTTTCAGACTGGGTGCACCTGGCAGCTCAAGTCAATTTCTGCCTTAAAACAAATGGGCTGGCAGAAAAGTGTACTACCCACTGCAATACCATCCGACTAATTACAATACAAAATGGAGAGAAAGGTAGTGATTAATTAGATTGGTCATCAAACCTCATTACTCCTTTGCCTAGAATCGGTGAAGGCCTAACGATTCAAACCAGAATGGCCATAACTGCTATAGGGTTGCTTGCTACTACATTTTCAAAATTATAATACCACTGCCAATACTTCGCTAATCCAGTCATCTCCTTGTGAGATGCAATTTTTCATTATTTGAAGCCTTACTCTGGCTCTTGTCAGGGGCCGCAATATAGCCTAACCATAAATATGGTCTAATGGCTAAACGCGGTTTCTGGGACCTCTCCGCTGTGATCCTCATCCGCATGGTGGCACTTTGTGTCATCGGGTGTTTATCACTTGTATGATGTCCTGGTGGGGTAAAAATAGATAGATAGATACCACTGCCTCTCTGCTTTGGATAATCAACATGATCAAAAAGTACACACAACACACCCATTTTTTTTTCTGGTGGTTTGTGGGGGAGGGGGGGGGGGGGGGCATTAACAGAAACAGGAAAAATTGATATTAAGAGCATTTATAACACAACACCCTATACTGTATTTACCATTTGAGGATCCATCATCATCATCTGACACCAGTGCAATGTCTTCTTCCAACATTGCATTCAGAGGCATACTCTCCTCCTGGGAACAAATAAGTCTTTACATTTTTTCAAACTGAGCATTTCTGGGTTAGAGTGAGGGTTATTAGTCAAATGTAGAACAATACCTTGCATCAGATTGCTTGAAAAGCAGAATCCCACTACAACTAAGTGCTGTCTGTAACTATAATCTTTGAACAAATAAGTGCTGTCTGTAACTATAATCTTTATACAAATAATAAGTGCTGTTTGTAACTATAATCTTTATACAAATTAGTGCTGTCTGTAACTATAATCTTTATACAAATAAGTGGTCTGTAACTATAATCTTTATACAAATAAGTGCTGTCTAAACTATAATCTTTTTACAAATAAGTGCTGTCTGTAACTATAATCTTTATACAAATAAGTGATGCCTGTAACTATAATCTTTATACAAATAAGTGCTGTCTGTAACTATAATCTTTATACAAATAAGTGCTGTCTGTAACTATAATCTTTATACAAATAAGTGCTGTCTGTAACTATAAGTCTGTAACTATAATCTTTATACAAATAAGCGCTGTCTGTAACTATAATCTTTATACAAATAAGTGCTGTCTGTAACTATAATCTTTATACAAATAAGTTCTGTCTGTAACTATAATCTTTATACAAATAAGTGCTGTCTGTAACTATAATCTTTAAACAAATAAGTGCTGTCTGTAACTATAATCTTTATACATATAATAAGTGCTGTTTGTAACTATAATCTTTATACAAATTAGTGTTGTCTGTAACTATAATCTTTATACAAATAAGTGGTCTATAACTATAATCTTTATACAAATAAGTGCTGTCTGTAACTATAATCTTTATACAAATACGTGGTCTATAACTATAATCTTTATACAAATAAGTGCTGTCTGTAACTATAATCTTTATACAAATAAGTGCTGTCTGTAACTATAACCTTTATACAAATAAGTGATGTCTGTAACTATAATCTTTATACAAATAAGTGCTGTCTGTAACTATAATCTTTATACACAAAAGTGCTATCTGTAACTATAATCTTTAAACAAATAAGTGCAGTCTGTAACTATAATCTTTATACAAATAAGTGCTGTCTGTAACTATAACCTTTATACAAATAAGTGATGTCTGTAACTATAACCTTTATACAAATAAGTGCTGTTTGTAACTATAATCTTTATACAAATTAGTGCTGTCTGTAACTATAATCTTTATACAAATAAGTGGTCTATAACTATAACCTTTATACAAATAAGTGCTGTCTTAACTATAATCTTTATACAAATAAGTGCTAGCTGTAACTATAATCTTTAAACAAATAAGTGCAGTCTGTAACTATAATCTTTATACAAATAAGTGCTGTCTTAACTATAACCTTTATACAAAAAAGTGCTATCTGTAACTATAATCTTTAAACAAATAAGTGCAGTCTGTAACTATAATCTTTAAACAAATAATTGCAGTCTGTAACTATAATAATACTACACATGCGTATACCTATGACCAGTTTTCAAACAGTAAGCAGTACAACTAAATTCTGAATTGACCAGTCTACAAAGCAATATCTGACCACAGAACCAGGTAACCACATTCAACAAACTTACCCCTTGGTACTGGTGCTGTGCCACTACTGCCCTCTGAAGTAGGTCAACAAAGAAACATACTAGTAAGGACTGTCAAGGAAGAAAGAAGTACAGCTGATTTGGAATTCAATAAGAATACAAAACAGATTGTATTTTCACCCCATGCTTATAATAAGGGTAGGGCAGAATCAAGAAAAGAACATCACAGCACTCATTGGCATTCCCATACCAACGCCAACCTCATCTTCAGCAGCTATCAAAGAGCTCCAATTCTGACGGTATCATTAGCAGTTTGATTATATGTCCATCGTTCCTTTCATGCTGGGAAACACTGATGTAATTATGTAATGCGCTGATGAAGACTCTGGAGCTGCAGCGTTCACTTTTTGTTTGTGTCTGTTATATTGTAAAGCTCGCTGATCTACTTTCTTTTGGTTCGGTTTTGTATCTTTCCATGATATTGAAATGATCTATAAGTGCCGCTGCATGCTTGGGATTAGCTATTTCAGCTGATGATACATTGTTTGAGAAATATGAACAGTAGATGATCACATAACACACATGATACATTGTTTGAGAAATATAGGCAGTAGATGATCACATAACACACATGATACACTGTTTGGGACATATGGGCAGTAGCTGATCACATAACACACATGATACACTGTTTGGGACATATGGGCAGTAGCTGATCACATAACACACATGATACATTGTTTGGAACATATGGGCAGTAGATGATCACATAACACACATGATACATTGTTTGGGACATATGGGCAGTAGCTGATCACATAACACACATGATACATTGTTTGGGACATATGGGCAGTAGATGATCACATAACACACATGATACATTGTTTGGGACATATGGGCAGTAGCTGATCACATAACACACATGATACCATGTTTGGGACATATGGGCAGTAGATGATCACATAACACACATGATACACTGTTTGGGACATATGGGCAGTAGCTGATCACATAACACACATGATACACTGTTTGGGACATATGGGCAGTAGCTGATCACATAACACACATGATACACTGTTTGGGACATATGGGCAGTAGCTGATCACATAACACACATGATACATTGTTTGAGAAATATAGGCAGTAGATGATCACATAACACACATGATACACTGTTTGAGAAATATAGGCAGTAGATGATCACATAACACACATGATACATTGTTTGGGACATATGGGCAGTAGATGATCACATAACACACACGACACACTGTTTGGGACATATGGGCAGTAGATGATCACATAACACACATGATACATTGTTTGGGACATATGGGCAGTAGCTGATCACATAACACACATGACACATTGTTTGGGACATATGGGCAGTAGCTGATCACATAACACACATGACACATTGTTTGGGACATATGGGCAGTAGATGATCACATAACACACATGATACACTGTTTGGGACATATGGGCAGTACATGATCACATAACACACATGATACATTGTTTGAGACAAATGGGCAGTAGATGATCACATAACACACATGATACATTGTTTGAGACAAATGGGCAGTAGATGATCACATAACACACATGATACATTGTTTGAGACAAATGGGCAGTAGATGATCACATAACACACATGATACATTGTTTGATACAAATGAGCAGTAGATGATCACATAACACACATGATACATTGTTTGAGACAAATGGGCAGTAGATGATCACATAACACACATGATACATTGTTTGAGACAAATGGGCAGTAGATGATCACATAACACACATGATACATTGTTTGAGACAAATGGGCAGTAGATGATCACATAACACACATGATACATTGTTTGAGACAAATGGGCAGTAGATGATCACATAACACACATGATACACTGTTTGAGACATATGGGCAGTAGATTATCACATAACACACATGATACATTGTTTGGGACATATGGGCAGTAGATGATCACATAACACACATGATACATTGTTTGAGACAAATGGGCAGTAGATGATCACATAACACACATGATACATTGTTTGGGACAAATGGGCAGTAGATGATCACATAACACACATGATACATTGTTTGAGACAAATGGGCAGTAGATGATCACATAACACACATGATACATTGTTTGAGACAAATGGGCAGTAGCTGATCACATAACACACATGATACATTGTTTGAGACAAATGGGCAGTAGATGATCACATAACACACATGATACACTGTTTGAGACAAATGGGCAGTAGATGATCACATAACACACATGATACACTGTTTGGGACATATGGGCAGTACATGATCACATAACACACATGATACATTGTTTGAGACAAATGGGCAGTAGATGATCACATAACACACATGATACATTGTTTGGGACAAATGGGCAGTAGATGATCACATAACACACATGATACATTGTTTGAGACAAATGGGCAGTACATGATTACTCGTTATACGTTGTTTGAGACATACAGGTAGTAGATGAATTCACATTATACATTGTTTGGGAAACAAGGGCAGCAGCTAAACATAAATAATGTGGTGAATGGGACTGAAAGAGTTCAGAACTGGCTTTATTATGCGTCATGCCCTAAATATCAGAGATAGATAGAGAACATATTGGTGTATCCTGTGTAAGTAAATATCCACTTAGATGCCAAGAAGTTTTATATTATCACAACTACACACTGGGATTTCTTGGGCATGTTGAGTCCGCTAAAGCAGCAGCCACTGACTGTTCCCATGAGAAGTTGATTACGTCTGCTATCCTGACCTCGAAGAGGGCACTGATGTGTTTCACCAGTGTTGACTGAGTTAATGCAATCGTGTTAACATCCAAGATCTGTTACTTTCTGCCAGTCTAGTCTGTATAGTGTTGATGATATCTGCTCTGCCCATGCATCTTCCCACATGCAGTGGTGCAATACTGGCCAGCTATCCACTCAATCATTACATTTTACTCTGACATACCCAGGTGTGTAGATCCAGGTGACGAAGTCACCATGAGGTGTACTGGGTATATGGTGCCAGCCCCATATTTTCATACCAACTGCCAATTGGGTTATGAGGTCAATATCACAAAAGCCACTTGTATTTTTACTTCCAATGAGATAACGGTGTCCAATAAGTTTCTGTACATAGGAAAAATCAAACATATCACTAATACCATTAGAAGCGTAACACCACTGGTGCTTATACTTGTTCTTCAGCAGTGGAGAGCATGCACTGAGAAGTGTTTTCAGAACAACGGTAGTCATGTAGATCACATTATATCAATTATATATCAATATTAATAACAATAGTTGTCATAAATTTGTTTTTTATTTTACCTGTGTATGGAAACTAACCACACACCTTTATTTGAAGACCTTTTCAATCTGGGAAGCCAGGCCAACAACAACAACAACAAATGCCACATATTAAAGAGGATTCAAACATACTACCCATGGACCAGCAGGAAAGTGTACTAGCCACTGGACCACCTCAGCCCTGTTTATTTCTTCTTCTTCTTCTTTATGTTTTTAGCTGTAAACTCCTATGAAAGATTCTGGTTGTTTGTCCCCTTCTGGACTTTAGTCTTGTTCCAGAACTTGAGCTCTGTGTGCACATATGTTTTACAGATGGGGCTTATTTGTATACAGACTGCTAGTTTACTGATTTTTCAGGCAGATACATTTCAACTTTGAAGGAAATCCTTTTTATTATGATGCCTATTTTAGTTAATCAGTGAAAATGGTAATGGCCATGACAAACATTAACTCTTTCAGACTTGGTTAGGACAATAAACACAATGAAAAAAAAACAGCATTGGGAAAGGGGGGGGGGGGGGTAAGAAGTAACATGTCTTGATCTTGTATACAGCTGTCCACATGTGGATTCCTGGGCCCCATTTTGGGGAAAACAAGAATAGACAGACCTACTGCCTTCCCAACAAGCATGTCATAGGAGTCGACTAATTGCGGGCTTCCTTCAAAATTGAAGTGCATCTGCCAGAGCGGCAAGGAATAACAACTGCACACAAATAAGCCAATAAAATTAATGTACATGCAAAAAAACAAGCAACGGCACAAGCCAAAGTCCAAATGGACGAATAACAAGGACCTTCGACGACAGCTTACAGAAGGAGGAAAAGTATACAGCTGCAAGTTAAAATATGTAGCGAGATTTCTTAAGTACAGTGAGGCCAAATGAAATATGTATAAGAATACGTTATGTATATCAAGATGTAGCAGGTCTTTTGTAGAAAGCTACTTTCACCATGACATGCCAGAAAGCCACCTGATCCTTTCAAACATAAACGTTCACATCCAAGGTAAAACAAGTCACATGTCCACCATCAATGCAGACAGTTTGTCTCACAACTACGCCATTTCGGTGTTAGTGGAAATAAAAAATACTGTCCCATTTGAAAATTAGAGAAAAACTTGTCTATTCAGCAAAATCTTGAAGCTCACACCCGCAAGAAAAATTGGAAGAGGCAGCCGTATGATCTGCCAACACTAACTGTTCCACACCAGAACTGCAGCTCACGCTTGGTTTAAAATCATGAAAGTCGGCACTGCACCCGCAAAAGTACACACATTCTGAATGCCTTCAGCCACTCTTGCCATTTTAGTGCAGTCAACAACAAACTGTGGTGCAAAAGAAAAAAAAATAGTTTTATGTGAAATCCACAACTCAGTGTTGAACCAAGCACTCAGCTCAGTAGCTGGACTACATCCTTGATAATCTTTATCCATTCTTGTGCTGGTAGATCTTCTTCTAGGAACCACACCCTCCATTACTGTTCTCTCTAAACCATTATGACATTTAATACTGTCAACAGATCAAATGGTTTGGACATGTATCAAGGCAACCACTATAGACAGCCCTGTCACTTAGACATAATGGAAGCAGAGCAGAGGTGGACCAAGCATGATGGATAGACGGAATATTCCAAGATCATAAATAACTGCATCCATATTTTGGAGAAATGATACACTACACGGTGACATTACATTTGTTATTAACAGCACATTGTTTGGGATAGACAAACTTCAAGAAACACATGTTTAAACATTAGGTAAAACAACTCACTTGCACAAAAGCATCAATGACGAAGGTCACCAGAAAAGGGTACAACCCAGATCTGCTAAGCATAACTGGAAGACCTGGTGGCAAGAAACCCAGAACATAAAAGTGAATCACCTGTATATGTTACATACTGTTACCACGCTGGTACCTAGATTAATTTAAATGATGCAACTTACTACATGTGCCAAGTCTTTCATCTCTCTCTCTCTCTTTCTCTCATTCACTCCTTTTCTTTCTTTACTTCATAACTTTAATTTTGAATTCACGTGTCAGTTATCTGATGCCCCAGTCATCCATGACCTGCTGGTTTCTGACAACACTTAATAGGGAAAGGAGAGCTTTACAAAACAATCATGCGGCATATTTGTTTTAGAACATGATATTAAATTTAGAAGTACTAAAATATGCCTCAGTCTCTGCATTATATACCTTCTCCCTCTCCCCCTTTTACTGCCAGACTTGTCAAAATCAATCCTAATTCTCTGTTTCAACTGATATAACTTTTTTGGTTTGTTTCACAATCTCTCTCTCTGATTCTTTCTCTCTCATATCCCCCCCCCCCCCCCCCCCCCCCAATCCAGTGTGCCGTGTAGTTTCCAGTGTTCCATTTTGGAAAACAAAGAAGAGATCTGCTGCAAAATCCTGAAAAGTACTGCAAAAATTTCATGCGATACAACTTACCTAATATTCCTGTGCCAAGTATGGTGGCAATTGTCACAAAATCTGGGGAAAGTAAAACCTAATCAGGTTAACCTGTCGCAAAATTTGCATTTTTTTCTTTCCAAAAAATAATATTTTATGCAATAACAATTTAAGTACCAGAAGGTTTGTTAAGAGAAACTGAGGAGGTGAATTACTATGAAAGATCTGGTGTCATTTGGCAGAGGCAGACCAAGAGAAATGATGGTGGATGGCTTAAGACCGTTTGCATGAAGGAATATCATCAGTGGAATAGATTCAGAACACCAAGGACCAAGATCTGTGGAGATGCATGAACGCCTATGCCAGTTGGCAAGGTACTTGATAATGATGAAAAAGATAATAAAGTGACCAAAGAAGAAGCCATTTGTTTTTTTAGTACAGTTGACCAAATATTAGAAGTAAATGAATGATGCAATGGTTGGAATAGCAAATGAAACCTAAAGTATTTTTTGGGACTGACAGAGATAAGTCACTCTGAATGAGAGCGGAAGTAACTTGGTGGATAGATGCTCACCTACAAGCCTAAATGTGTAGGGTTCAGAACCGCACCCAGGCAGAGTTTTCCTCCTCAAAATTGACCTTAACTCAGAGTCAACCTAGACTAAAATGGGTACAAAGTAATTCTTGGGAAGTAAAGGCAGCCGGTGTAATGATGACCCCAACACCCATCGAGGTACAAATGGGTTCAAATGTCTGTTGAAGCCTTACTGGTTAGGCTGAAAGGTCAGCCAGTCAGGTGTCAGGGTGTCACAATTAGCCAAGCAGCCACCTCATTGTGAACTGTTGAGACTAAAACCTAGACAAAGAGATGTGTTCACATCTTAGATAAGCAGCACCTCCTGTTGGCAGTAGCTCACAGTTCTGTCCTACAGCAAATTTAGAGATGTGCCCCCATCCAATATCTTTCTGTGAGAGGCAAGGTTCAGATTTTCTGACCATCAAATGTCTCATTGTGTGACAGACAAGGCTAAAATTAAAATGGTGGCTCCCAGTGGCCCCACTCATCAGTTTCAGGTTTAAAGGAAAAAGCCAGGCCTGATGCATGTTCTTCCAAAAAAGGTGTCCTGATGCAACTATGTTAAAGGTGTCTAACATGCAGAAGGAAACTGTGCCTAATTATGTGGTCTTTAAGTCTCGGACATGTAGACCGCATCCTCTTGATTGCAAAAGGGTGCAGCCCGTGAGGAGTAGGAAGCTCAATACATGATGTGGGCTTAAGCAGTCATGTGCAGGATGTGATGATTGCTTGGGTAAGCCCAAAGTAAGCTCATACAGTAAGTTTTAATCCCCAAACTGGATGACCAGAGTCTCTCTTGCCTGTTCTCTACTCTTTGACCTATCCGACTTGGAAGGCCCTGCAGCTATGTTCCCGCCGGCACAGCTCTTAAGGTCAGTGAGAAACACAAGGCCACCCCCCCCCCCCCCCTTTCCCCTGCCATAAGGGTCTGACAATATCTCATAAAAATTTCATGCACTAGAAAGCTTTTAATTTATTCTGCCGTAATCCAATACCACTAAGCGTTAGTGCGAGGTGTGTCAAACTATAACAAATTTAGACCATATAATCTACTACAGATGCACAAAAGCATTAGTTCACTATAATCAATAAAGCAGCCACCACAAACATAATTTATTACTATGTGTATTTTAAGGTTATAGTTTTACAGATCAGAATGCTGTTACTAGTACCATCGGAATTTCAACTCTGCGCTTGCTGCTGAAGATGGGGACGGAGCGCTTATAGGAGTGTCCTGAGTGCTGTGATGTCGATTTTTAATTCAACATTCAACATTCTCCTGCTGACCGAAGATGCGGCTAGCCTATAGAAAAGATGAGCCAATCATCATCTGTCCGATGGCAACTGGTATGAAAAGAGTCCTTTGCTTTGCCTCAGTGGTTTTCAACCGATGGGCGCAAGGAAGCTTAAAGGGGGCAGGTCAAGCAATTTGGAAATTTAATGCATTTGTTCTTGTAATAATCTTTTATGTTAAACAAAAATTTACATTTCCTTGTCCAACGTCTGACCAAAAATAACATATCAAGACAAAGCACTGTCTGCCAATACACTGATATCTGGACACTAAATTACAAGTTGTTGATGACCGTTTTTTAAAAATGTTATTCAATAAATTGATTTATGTGGATGTTTTTCATCAAGTTCTTGTTAACAGCGCTTTGCATTTTCATTTTTGCCCTCCTCTGTTTAATCACATTTTTTTAATTAGGGGAGGGTTGGGGGTGTTTGACATATATTCAAGGTATTCAAGGAGAGGCCACCTGGTTTAAAACTACAGATGT